ATCTGGCCACACTGACTGACTTTTTTTTTGGTTGATTGGTTGGTTGGTTGGTCGGTTGGGTTTTTTTTTTTGTTGGTTTGTTTTATGTTTTTTAAGAATTAGGAAATACTTTAACTGTCCAGACTAACAACATATAACTGCTACCATGCTTATATGTGCATGTACATACCTTGTGTTCTCATTTACTAAAATATAACTGTAAATATTCTGCCTTTTATATGCTATGCTGTCAGTTCCAGTTGAGTCACAGCAGTAAATTCATGAAGAGCCCAAGTTGCTTTTGAATTGGATCGAGATTCTAAACATTGAAGACACTTATTGAATATTTGTAAAAATTATCTCCAAGATGTTTTTAAAAGCAAACAAAAAGGACTAAACAAAATTAAGCAAACTATATTTGGGAAATAGTGCACACAGAAGCAGAAGACTGCTAATAGGGTAAATAAGCTATGTCACATTCCCTGACTCACACTTCTAAGTGTAAGTCACTGCTAAGTCTGAGTGTACTCATTTCCCCTCTTTTTACATGCAAAGAGTCTTAAGGTATGTGTCCGAATTATGTTAATTTCTGGGATATTATCATTTTGCAATCTCATATGTTGAATACTGGATAAAGCGCAATATTTGTGCATGGTACTAGAACATGGGCAAAAACATACCTTGAGTTGCAGAATGGAATCACCAGGAAATTGAGTTATACTTACAACATTAATTACTTGCTTTTCATTAATGTTGAAATTCTGACAGGCTCAGCTGCTCCTTGTATGGCTTCCCCTCTAGGCCCTTCAACAACTTCCTAGCTTTTCTTTGGACACCCTTTAATAGCTTTAGATCCTTCTTATATTGTGGTGCCCAAAAATGCACAATACTCAAGGTGAGGCTCCACCAGCACAGAGCAGAGTGGGGAAAAACACCACCCTTGGCTGGCTGGTGATGCTGCACCTGATGTACCTCAGGACACAGGGTATTGTTCTTTCAATGACAAGAACTGAGAGCAGTGCTCATGGAGGTATTAAATTGACATTTTTAAGGTAGAGGAATTCTTCCCTGTGCTTGGTGCACCCCAGGATATAGCTGATCCTTTTGACTGCCAGGACACATGGCTCATTCATAGTGAGCTTGCCATTGATAAGAACCCTCAGGTCCTGTTCCACAGTGCCTCTCATTCCTTCTCCAGCCTCTGGTTCCCCAGTCTGTCCCTACATCTGGGGTTGCCCTGTCCCAGGTGCAGAATCTGACACTTGCCCTTGTTAAGTTTCATCTGGATGGTGGTTGCCCAGCCCTCTAATTTGTCAAGAGGATGTCCTTTCAAACGAGTCAGCAGCTTCTCCCAGTTTGGTGGAAATTGCCAGGACAGCACTGCTTGGAAATTTTGCTGTGATTAAGTGCTGAGGTGCCCAGGTCCAGACGGTTAACTGAAGCACAACTTTGCATATGCTTTAGGGTTTCCACAGAGAGACAGACAGCAGCAAAGGATTTTTATCCCTGCACCCAGAACTTTCTGTATTTCACTAGCTTGCTTCTTCCTGTGGTAAATTAACCCATGTGTAATCCCTGCTGCTGTGATCCAATTTCTATCAGAGCTTTAATTGTCCGAGTCAACACTAGCTTATGTGTCTTTATACTCTCCTGGTAAGGCAGCTAAGCGTGCTGAATAACTAATTCCTTCCTAACTTGTCTTCTGGTTGTCATTTAGCAAAACGCACACAAAATCTCCCCAGAGTGAATCATTCATTATGCAGTCAGTTTAAGAACGTACATAGATCCCTTTGGTCACTTGCTGGACAAATGGTAGTAAGCCATTCTTGAGAGAATGCAGTGTCTGTAGTAGTTTGTAGCTAGTAGAGGATTTGTGGTGCAGCTGTGCAGCGAACCACTGTTTGAGAAGAGGAGGTCCTGAATTCAAAGGACTTTATCAGCCCCTGGCTTTCTGCCTCACAAGTAAGTTCTGCTCCTGGTAGCAGCAGTAAAGGCTTTGTTGGTATCTTGATGTTCTTCTGAAATCACTGGCCTTGAACCAGGGGAGACCTCATGGCAGTCTGCAACTTCCTTGTGAGAGGAAGAAGCATGGAGGCAGTGATCTCTTCTCTGTCATGACCAGTGACAGAACTTGATGGAGTGGTGTGAAGCTGTGTTAGGGGAGGTTTAAGTTGGATACTAAAAAGACGTCATCTTCACCCAGAGGGTAGTTGGGCACTGGAACAGGCTCCCCAGGAAAGTGGTTACAGCACCAAGCTTGACAGAGTTTCAAGAAGTGTTTGGACAATACTCTTAGGCACATGGTATGACTCTTGGAGATGGTCCTGTGCAGGGCCAGAAGTTGGATTTGATGATCCTTGTGAATCCTTCCAACTTGGCATATTCTGTGGTTCTGTAACTAATACGCCTGCTTCAGTTAGGGCTTAAGAATCGTTGTTAGTAATGTATGAACAGTAGTGAGTGCTGTTTACAGGTAACACGGTTGTCTCCAGCTGCCTGTAGAGTGTGACTGTGTCTCTGCCTCAGACAGTAAAGCTCGGTGAGTTGCTGAACTTGAAGGTTCAGGTTAACCTGGCCTGATTCTGTGAATCCACACAGGAAAAAACAACCAACGTGTATTACAATGTCCTCCAGGAGTACAAGGGAAGGAGGTTCTGTAAGGGACAGAGTTAGCACAGCTAATAGAATTTAGCAAAATGGACACTCTCTCCAGCATGTGTTCCTCATCAGGTCCCATATGCTTTACAGTATGCTTTCAGACTTTGCTTTTTGCAAATGCAGTTTTTAGATGAACATATCTACAGTAGCTCTATTTTTGGATGTGTCTACACTGCAGTCGAGTAGTGTGATTGCAGGACATGCAGACAGCTCTGTAATAGCTTCATATGTCATATGAAGACATGCCAGCCTAGTCTTAAGAGAGGGCTTTGCAAGCCTTCTGGACAGGTTGTTAAACCATGCTGAAGTCTGCTTTCATCTGTCTCCACTGCTATTTTTAACTCTGCTCTCTAGATTTACACTATCGTGGATACTCCTACACATGGTGACATAATTCATAACTGCATGCCCACTACTTTGCCCTGGTGTTGTTGGTGGATACTCTGCGTCTGGACTTGTGTTTCTTTTTCTTTATACTGAGACAGCCTTAATTTCTTTTCCACTGAGTTTAATTGGCTATTTCACTATATAGTTCCACTCTGTAAGGAATTTTAGAAATGGCAGTGGAGTGTAGGAGAGACTTCCGGCAATTTTCCACTTCAAAAATTAATTTTAGAGTCCCTATTCCAAATTTGATTGGTAAGCTCAACCCTAAAGAACCTTCACATCCAGGTCACACATCTTTGTAACAGTTAAAATCCAGATGAGAGACCAGGTTGAAGAAGTGATGTTAGAAAGTAAGCATTTTAACATGTCCTTTATCAAAGCACTGAACCTAGAGCACAGGGAAAAAAAGAAGTGAAATTATATGAAAAATGTCAGCAGTAACAGTAAGGTCACTATAATATATAAACCACAATCCAACTCTGTTGAAAAGGATTTGAATGTACTTTTAAGAGAAGTAATGTGTATGGGTTTTGAACATTTTGAAGAAGATCCCTGCACTACTGAGAATTTCTTGTTGTTTTGGTTTGTGGGGTTCTTTTGTTGGTTTGTCTGTTTTATTGGTGGAATTTTTGTGCTTTTTGTTTTTTTAAGTTATGTAGTAAGCTTTCTTTTTGGTTTGTTAGATTAATTGTTAAGTTACTTCACATGCTTGTCAATGAAGTGTGCTTCCAATTAAGGTAGCATATTGTATGAGTAAAGTTTGATGACGAGTCTACTTGCACATCAGATTTTAGTATTTTTTAATTCAGAAATAGACTCTCCTTTACTCATTAAAAACCAACCAACCAAAAAAAACCCCTGCAGAAAACTGCAAAGCTGACCTGTATCTAAGGATGTATTCTGCAAATACCTGCTGAGTATCCAGTTCTTTTACTGGGCAATTTTCATGCTATTTAACAAAGACAAGGGAGAAGACATGGTTTGAAAATTGAAGTTAGGATATTAAAGGATTAATTTATGCACATTTTTTCGTGACACAAAAATATTTCAGATAAGAGTGAATACTGTCAAACTCAGGGGAATTCAAAATAGACTCTAACAAAGCATATGTTATGTGATATGAGACATGCTTTAGAGGAGTAACATGAAGCTGAGCTTTTTAGCCTGGTGGAATGCTGCAACTTAGTTGTATGCCAAGAAAATATTTTGTTTCTAGATAAATTCTTAAACTGAAATAAATAAAACTTTCTCTTATCTTTTATTAAATAGTTCTTTAAAAGAAGTACTTCTTATGCCTGTCCTGGACACCTTTCTGAGGAAAAAGAGTGGTGTTGGTTCACTGGCTGGTGTGCAAGAATGCAAGCTAAGCCTGATTCTAGCAGCACGTGGTCTTGAATAAATAATTCAATTCTTTTCACCTATAAAATTGGAAGAAATATATTGGGGAACCACAAATTGTCAATAGCAACATCTTTTTGTAGCGTGGAGATCTAACAGTTTTTTGTTTTGAGAAAGATTCATTCTTTGTGTTGAACAACTCCAGCATCTTCAAACTATGAGACTCAGTGTATCTCCTGTGGTGTACTTAGTCCTCCTCAGACCTCTCCATAATCCTGTGCAGTGCTGGGGGCATTATGTAGTCCCACAGGATTGTTCTCTACACAGATCGTTCATTGTGTCCTGGAAGCAGGACCTCTTCTGGTTAAACCTCCTGGGAAAACACCCCAAAACCAAACCATAATTGGAAATTAGATGAACAGTTAGCAGATTTGTGATGCTTACAAAGTCAGGTGCTTATGAAGTAAAAAATGTGAGAACCACTTCATGATGTCCTTGCTCTTCACCTTTCTGGCAAGTATCGTGCTTCAGGAGGTTTAGTAGATATCCTCAGCTCATTTGCTAATGAGCTGGAATACACATAGACAACAGTGCTGGGCCCAGTCCTGTTTAACATCTTTATCGATGACCTAGATGAGGGGATTGAGTCCATCATCAGCAAATTTGCTGATGACACCAAGTTGGGAGGGAGTGTCAACCTACCAGAAGGCAGGAGGGCTCTGCAGAGGGACCTGGATAGACTGGAGAGATGGGCTGACTCCAATGGGATGAAGTTCAACAAGGCCAAGTGCTGGGTCCTGCACTTTGGCCACAACAACCCCCTGCAGCGCTACAGGCTGGGCACAGAGTGGCTGGAGAGCAGCCAGGCAGAAAGGGACCTGGGAGTTTGGATTGACAGGAAGCTGAACATGAGCCAGCAGTGTGCCCAGGTGGCCAAGAAGGCCAATGGCATCCTGGCCTGGATCAGGAACAGTGTGGCCAGCAGGAGCAGGGAAGTGATCCTTCCCCTGGACTCAGCACTGTTGAGGCCACACCTGGAGTGCTGTGTCCAGTTCTGGGCCCCTCAGTTCAGGAAGGACATTGAGGTGCTGGAGCGGGTCCAGAGAAGAGCGACCAGGCTGGTGAAGGGACTTGAGCACAAGTCCTATGAGGAGAGGCTGAGGGAGCTGGGGTTGTTTAGTCTAGAGAAGAGAAGGCTTAGAGGTGACCTCATCACTCTCTTCAACTACCTGAAGGGAAGTTACAGCCAGGTGGGGGTTGGTCTCTTCTCCCAGGCAACCAACAACAGGACAAGGGGACATGGGCTCAAGCTCTGCCAGGGGAAGTTTAGGTTAGATGTTAGGAAGAAATTCTTTACAGAGAGGGTGATCAGGCATTGGAACGGCCTGCCCAGAGAGGTGGTGGATTCACCATCCCTGGAAGTTTTTAAAAAGAGATTGGACATGGCCCTTAGTGCCATGATATAGTAATTAGAGTTGGATCAGGGGTTGGACTTGATGATCTTGGAGGTCTTTTCCAACCCAATCTATTCTATGATTCTATGATTCTATGATTCTATGATTCTAACAGGATAAAGAAGCAATCATCACAAAGTGGTGTGTTCTTGGAAGGAACCTTAGTACCATCTAGTTCCAGCACCCTGCCATGGACAGGGACACCTTCCACTAGACGAGGTTACTCAAAGCGCCATCCAACCTGGCCTTTAACACTTCCAGGGATGGGACATGGACCAATTCTCTAGGCAACCTGTTCCAGTGCCTCACCACCCTCACAGTAAAGAACTTTTTCCTAAGAAGTTCCTAAACCTGCTGTCTTTTAGTTTAAAGCTCTTGTTCCTTTTTTTATCTCTGTAAACCCTTCTTTAAAATCCCTCTCCAGCTTTCTTGTAGGCCTTCACGTACTGGAAGGCCACAATGTGGTCTCCCTGGAGCCTTCTCTTCTCCAAGCTGAACAGTCCCAGTTCTTTTACAAGACATGCTCCATCCCTCTGATCATCTCTGTAGCCCTCTTATGGATTTGATCCTTCAGGTTCACGTATTTTCTGTGCTGAGGACCCCAGAGCTGGATGCAGCACTGAGGTGGGGTCTCACAAGAATAAAGAGGCAGAATCACCTCTCTCAGCATGCTGCCCACTCTCTTTTTGATGTAGCCCAGGATGCGATTGGCTTTCTGAGCTGTCGGTGCACACTGCAGGGTCACATCCAGTGTCTCATCCACCAGCAATCCCGAGCCTTTCTTCTTGGGGCTGCTCTCAATCTCTTCATCCCTCAGCTTGTACTGGTACCGGGGATTGCCCCAGCTCAGGTGCAGCACCTTGTACTTGGCCTCTTTGAACCTCATGAGATTCCCATGGATCCACTTGAGCCTGTCCAGGTCCCTCTGGATGGCATCCCGACTTTCAGGTATGTCAGCAGCACCAGTCAGCTTGCTGTCATCTGCAGCCTTGCTGAGGGTGTACTAGATCCCTTTATGTGTGTCATTAATAAAAATATTAAATAACACTGGTCCCAGTACAGACCACTGAGGGCACCACTTGTCACCAGCATCTGTCTGGACACCAAGCCATTGACCACCACTCCGTGGATTTGATTGTCCAACCAGTTCGCCAGAGAGTCTATCACTGTCTCTCCAGTTCAGAGAAAAGGATGTTGTGGGTGACCATGAAGTCCAGATAAAATACATCCTCAGTGCTTTTCTTGTCCACCGATGGAATCACTCCATTGTAGAAGCCACTGAGTTGGTCGGGCAGGACTTGCCCGGGGTGAAGCTGTGCTGGTTATCTCGAATCACCTCCCCGTGTCATTCACGTGCCTTGGTAAAGCTTCTAGGAGGATCTGTTCCATGGTCTTCCTAGGCACAGAGGTGATGCTGACAGGTCAGTAGTTCCCAGGGTCCTCCTTTCTACCGATTTTAAAGGTGGATACAATGTTTCCGCTTTTCCAGTAACCTGGGACTTCAACTGACTGCCATGACTTTCGAGTATCATGGAAGGTGACTTGGCAACACAAATATGGAGGACCTGGTTACAGAGAACGTGGATATGGTGGAAGTACTGAATGCATTTTTTGCCTCAGTCTTTACTAGCAAGCCAAGCCTTGGAGAGGTTGGAGCAAGGAGGATATACCCTTGGATCATGACAAGCCAACTGGTTATAAGTAAATCCACGGATCCTGATGGGATGCACCTGTGAGTGCTGAGGGAGCTGTCAGATGTTATTGTGAGGCCACTTTCAATAGCCCTTAATAACTTATGGTAACTGGGAGAAGTACCTGAAGACTGAAGAAAAGCAAACATATCTCCATCTTCAGGAAACACAGGAAGGAGGACTCAGTGAACTACAGGCCAGTCAGCCTCACCTCAATCCCTGAGAAGAGGCTGGAGAAGCTAATCCAGGAAACCCTTTTCCAGGCACATGAAAAACAAGAAAATCATCAGCCGTAGTCAGTGTGGTGAGGAAGTTATGCTTGATCAACTCAGTACATTTCTATGATGAAATGTCCAGCCTGGTAGATGAGGGAAGAGCAGTGGATGTGTCTACCCAGGCTTCAGTGAGCCCTTTGACATTGTTTTCCAGAAGATCCTAACAGAGAAACTGTTTATATACAGACTGGAAAAGCAGGCAGTGAGGTAGCTTGAAAATGGTCTGTATGGCCTAGTGCAGAGGGTTGTTAGCAGTGGAACAAAATGTAGTTGGAGACCAGTAACTAGCGGTGTATCCCAGGGGTCAAATCTTGGTCCAGTCCTGTTTAACATCACCATTAATGATCTGGATGGTGGGGCAGAGTGCACTCTCAGCACATTGGCAAGTCACACAAAACTGGAGTGGCAGAGAGGCCAGAGTGTCATGCTGCCAGCCAGAGAGACCTCAAAGGGCCGGGGAAGCAGACAGAGAGTAACCTCATGTTACTGCACTGAAGTGCAAAGCCCTGCACCAGGGGAGGAACAACCCCATGCACCGATATATGTTGGAGGCCACCCAGCTGGAAAGCAGCTTGGCAGAAAAGGACCTGGTGCTAATTTTGAGGAGAGTAAATATTTGAAGTAAAATTGCTAAAAGTTTTTTTAACAATGTTTGTTGAACAGGTTGAACGTGAGTGTGCCCTTTGGGCAAAGGCGGTGAATGGTATTCTGTTCAAAGGAGCTGGGCCTTCCCCTCTATTCAGTAGAGTGAAAAGAGAGGCAACAGGTGGAGTGCTGTGTCCAATGCTGGACTCCCCAGTATGAGAGACATGGGATTGGAGAGAGTCCAATAAAAGGCCGTAAAAATGAATAAGTGATTGAAGCATTTCATGTGAGGAAAAGGTGAATGGTCTGGGACTGTTCAGCTTGGAGAAGGAAAACCCAGACAGAGATCTTGGCAATATATAAAAGTACCTCCTGGTAGGGTGCAAGAAGAACTGAGCCAAGCTCTTTCCAGTGGCATCCAGGGAGAGAAAAAGGGGTGACAGACAAAAACTGATACACAGGAGGTCCCTTCTGAATATCAGGAAACACTTCTTCACTGTCAGGATTGTCAAGCACTGGCACAGGTTGCTTAGAGTGTTTGTGAAGTCTCCATCCTTGGGGATACTTGAAAGCCATCTGGATGCAGTCCTGGGCAGCTGGCTCTAGCTGAAGCTGCTTGAGCAGTGGTTTGGACCAGATGAACTACAGAGCTCCTTTCCAGCCTCAGCTGTTTCATGATTCTGTGAAACACTGTGATAAGAAGAGACAAGGCAGCAGTGAATAACCTGTGCCTCTGCCTCTGTGGTGGCAGCCCTGGGTGTTGCTAAGCATGAAACCCAAATCATTATATGGCTGGTAGCCTTGAAAGCCATATGCTTTCATATTTAGGTTGTCTATACTGAGCCTTTTGGTGTTGGACACATACATGAAATGAACTGTAGTGAGAGCTGTCTCCCACTTGTGGCAGTGATCTGTACAGTCTGGAGATGTGAACAAATACACAGGAAATCCCATGTGCTCCCATGTTTCTCATCCTGGCCTTTTTGCTGTTATTCTTTGGCTTCCTGTAAGCCCCTTTGTCTGTGTTTCAAATTTCTGGGTAGGGATAATAATGCTTTCTCATCCTGTAATGGAGACTGTGAATGAATTAAGGAATGTTTGTGAAACACTTGGACATTATTGATGAGCATCCTTGAAAAAGCTGATCTTTCACTCACTGTAGGGCTTACAGAGTCTAAAATTGTATGTATTCTAAGATGTATTCTAGTTAAATGCTTGATGGGTGAATACAAGAAATGAAAATACCCACCTATTTTTCTGAGTAGTTTGGCTGTGCTCTGTGTAAGGTATCCTACTTGCAAAAGTATCCTTTTGGAAAACATAGAAGTGTGATCCTTCAAGTAGTCTCTGTATCAAAATCAGCACAAGTAAAGGAATGTGCCAATGCATAGATTTTGTAACATAGTAGTTTTTGATGTAGTGAGGTTCATTTCCTTAACATAGTTTCAAAAATATAATTTTTTTTTTCCTTCATAAAGTGTTTTAGGAATCTTGAAAGAAGAAACTACAAAATTACAGCTTAAAATAATATTACTACTGCTGAAGTTGGCACTTCTGCCACCTCATCCCACACTGCTGTTGGAGCATTAATAAATGTACAACTGAGCACTGGTGTTGGTCATATCTGCTGTCCATAGTATTTTAAACGAATAATATTGGATAGCAATGCTCTCTGTATAATAGCATTGTATAGCTGCAGAAGTACGGTTGCAGTCTATTTCTCATTACTCAAATGAAAAAAATAACGACAGTTTCTGAAGGACAGCATTCTGATCTCTGAAGAATAATTTAGCTGTTTTTCACTGAATTTTCCAGTTTCCACCAAACTTTAGCTGAAACAAAAGGTTCTTGTTTGACAGTGCTTAAATTTAAAGTAGTTTACACTGCTAACTTTTAAGAATTTTTGTGAAAAACTTCATAGGCTCTGTCTAGGGAATAAAGTATGAAAAATAGTGCAATTTCTCTCCTGTCTTCATGTAATTTTATCAAAATGAAGATATTTTCCTAGATGTTAGTGGTCATTGCTGATTTTGAGGAAAGTTAATGTTTGAAGTAGAATGGCTAAAAGTTTTTTTAACTATTTGTTTACTTGGAAAATAAATACCTGTAGTATATTCATACAGTATTTATCAAATTAATGTGATTCATCAAGTAGTCTCGAAAGTGGGTCGGTCTGAGTGACAAAGAGAGTGAGTTCTTATGATTGAATTTTTGAGTTCAAGGTTTCTCTTTGTTTGGCCCATGGCCACCATATGCACAGATACATGCACCTGTGATGCACCCTGTATAAGGCTGACTCACATACCAAACTGAAGTGTATTGCTGGTCACACACTGGTGCCTCAGATCCAGGCTATACTAGTGAATTTCAGTGCACAAAGGATGGGACAGTGAAATTGATCACCCATTCGTTAAAAGAGAGAGAATAAAAAAGGGTGCATTTGGAAGACAGAATAGGAAAGTGGTTTGGTCCTTGTTGCAGAGAAAACAGGCGTTGGACCAGAGAGCAAGATGGTGCATAGATAGACTTCACACAGATGGTAAATACACTTGA